TATAATTGAAGACTCAAGGAAAGCTCAGATTATGTTACCAAATGGAACAATATTGTCCATATAGAATGCATTGTATGCTACTCGATCTACTCGAAATTTGTTGAGTTTCAAAGACATACGTTTAAATGGATACCACATTGAAATGAAAAATGCAAAAAATGTGGAGTATATATGCATTACCTCCAATGATACCCAGAAGCGTATATTGGAGAAGTTACGTGGTTTGTCGAGTGAATTGTATTATACATACATAAGGACAATTGAATCACATACTGTCATGAACCAGAAGTTTATTGATTCAAAAGTTCACATGTTTTGGCATGACCGTTTAGGTCATCCAGGATCCACCATGATGCGTAAGATCATTACCAACTCTAATGGACATCCATTATTGAGCAGAGACATTGCTATCTCAAATGATAACCCTTGCAAGGCTTGTTCTCAAGGGAAGTTTGCAAAGAATTCAAGAGGATATTTGTGGGCCTATTCAACCATCATGTGGACCATTTCGATATTTTATGGTTTTGGTTGATACATCTACCAGATGGCCACATGTTTGTCTCTTGTCTACTCGAAATGTAGCTTTTGCGAGACTTCTTGCTCAAATAATTAAGTTACGAGCACAGTTCCCAGATTACCCCATTAAGTCAATCCAACTTGATAACGCTGGTGAATTTACGTCTCAAACCTTTGATGATTACTGCATTACATTGGCATTGATGTTGAACACCCTGTTCCTCATGTCTATACTCAAAATGGTTTAGCAAAAGCATTGATCAAGCGACTTCAGTTAATAGCTCGCACTTTGCTCATGAAAACAAAATTGTCAATTTCTGTATGGGGACATGCCATCTTATATGCTGCATCATTAGTTCGATTGAGACCTATAGCCAACCACCAATACTCCTTAGTACAACTCATGTTTGGGCATCAGCCAAACATTTCACATTTACGAGTTTTTGGTTGTGCTGTTTATGTGTCCTATTGCACCGCCACAACGCACTAAAATAGGACCTCAGCGTAGACTGAGAATTTAAGTGGGTTTTGATTCACCATCTATCATTAGATATTTGAAATCCCTTACAGGTGATATGTTTACAGCTCGTTTTGCTGATTGTCATTTTGATAAGACAGTCTTCCTGTCATTAGAGGGAGAAAAGACCGTTCCAGAAGAACGGCAAGAGCTGACATGGGTTGTACCCACCTTGTCTCATTTTGATCCACGTAGCACTCGATGTGAAAATGAAGTGAAAAAGATCGTTCATCTTCAAAGTATTGCCAATCAAATGCTAGATGGATTTAATGATGCTATGAAAGTGACAAAATCACATATACCAACTGCAAATGCACCTGCAAGAATTGATGTCCCTGTTGGACAAAATAAAGTGGCAACGAATGATTCATCTAGTGCACGCCTGAAGCGTGGTAGACCCCTAGGTTCAAAAGATTCAGCCATTCGAAAGAGAAAGATAAGGGCACAACTGAATCCAAACGAAATCATTCAGGAAGAAAGAATGAATGATAAATCCATAATTCATGATTCTGGACTTCCAGAAAAAGAAAATGTCCTTGATGAGAAACATGTCCTTGAAGAGACAACAGTACATGAAAGCAAAGAAATCTCCATAAATTATGCATGTACAAATGAATTGTGGGATCAGAATGAAATAATCATCGATGATATGTTCGTATTCGCAGTAGCCACTAGAATCATATTAAGTGATGATATTGAGCTCCGCTCTGTTGATGAATGTAAACAGAGACAAGATTGGCCTAAATGGAAAGATGCAATCCATGCATAATTAAATTCCTTAGAAAGGCGAAATGTTTTTGGACCGGTAGTCCAAACTCTACCTAATGTAAATCTCGTGGGTTACAAATGGGTATTCATAAGAAAACGCAATGAGAAAAACGAGATTGCAAGATACAAAGCACGACTCGTTGCACAAGGTTTTCCACAAAGACCTGGAATTGATTATGAGAAGACATATTATCCTGTAATGGACGCAATTACGTTCCGTTACTTAATAAGTTTAGTGGTTTCAGAAAAGTTTGACATGCGACTTATGGATGTCATCACTGCGTATCTATATGGAGAATTAGATACTGACATATACATGAAGGTCCCAGAAGGACTTAAGTTGCCTGAAACAACTAACAAATCACGAGGTATGCTCTTGATCAAATTAAGGCGATCATTGTATGGTATGAAACAATCTGGATGCATGTGGTATAATCATCTCAGTGAATATTTGATCAAAGAAGGATATATCAACAATGTCATTTGCCCTTGTGTGTTCATTAAGAAATCCAATTCTGGATTTGTTATAGTGGCAGTATATGTTGATGATATGAACCTAGTTGGAACTCCTGAAGAGCTCAATAAAACTGTTGAATATCTGAAATGTGAATTTGAAATGAAAGACCTTGGGAAAACAAAATATTGTCTCGGCCTGCAGATCGAGCATTGTCATAATGAAATTTTGGTCCAACAATTAGCTTACATTGAAAAAATCCTGAAGCGATTTGGCATGGACAAGGCTTATCCACTTAGCACGCAAATGGTCGTTCGTTCTTTGGACATTAAGAAAGATCCATTCCGTCTAAAAGAAAATGATGAAATGGTCCTTGGTCCAGAAGTACCATATCTGAGTGCAATGGGTGCTTTATTGTATTTAGCACAATGTACTAGACCAAATATAGTTTTTTCAGTTAACTTGTTAGCAAGGTATAGCTCTGCTCCAACAATTCATCATTAGAAAGGAGTCAAAGATGTTTTGCGATACCTTCGTGGGACAACAGACATTGGTTTCTTCTACTAAGAGAAATCCACAAATGACCAGATCCTTACTGGATATGTAGATGCTTGTTTCCTCTCTAATCCGCATAAAGCCCGCTCACAAACTGGATATGTGTTCAAGAATGGAGATATAGCAATCTCATGGCGCTCAACAAAGCAAACATTAGTTGCTACATCTTCAAATCACTCAGAAATACTTGCTTTACATGAAGCAAGTCGTGAATGTTCTAGGTTAAGATCAATGATCCATCATATTTGGAATTTATGTGGTCTACCTTCGAAGACAGACAATCCAATTGTCATCCATGAAGATAATGCAGCATGTGTTGCCCAAATGAAGGAAAGATTCATTAAGGGCGATAAGACTAAACACATATCTCCAAAAAAATTCAGTGCACATGAGCTTCATAAGGCTAAAGTTATTAAAGTCAGACAAATCTGTTCCAATGAAAATTTGGCAGACCTGCTCACCAAGTCTCTACTAAAGTGCACATTTCAGAAGTTAGTGCAGAGTATCGGATTACGTCGACTTACCAATCAGCTAAATTTGAAGAATGCGGAATAGGGGGAGATAAATATCAGGGGGTGCATCCATGATACATGTTTGTTGTACTCTTTTTCCTTCAACTAGGATTTTTCCCACTGGGTTTTTCCTATCAATGTTTTAACGAGGCAACATAAGCATACTTAACACTATATCAACAATCTAGGTAAAGTTGTACTTTTTTTCCTTCGCTTTGGTTTTTTCCCACTGGGTTTTTCTTAGCAAGGTTTTAACGAGACAACTGATGTTGATATGTGGGCATCAAAGGGGGAGTGTTATAGAATTAGTGGATGAATAATGAATGCCCACTCAAAGTTGTAAAGACTTAGTAATAGTGAGTAATAGTGTTTGATACTTTCAAAAGTATCATCATTATATTTTGATGGTTGCAGTTACGAGAGTTGCTCTATAAATGGAGCACTCCGTCTGTTATCTAACATACTGCGAAAGAAAGCAAGAGAAATAATATCAGTATCCACCCCTCTCTTTATCTGCCATCTATTTTATGTTATAGCTACTAAAGTTATAGTGTGATATTTTGCACCTGCTTCGCTCCTGTCCTTAGAAAAGTTATCTCTCTAACTTTTGCCTATTTATAACACGTTATCATCACGACTCTCTAACCTTAAATAGTTTCTAGAAACAGCTTTTCTGCTCCAATAAAGAACAAATTTGGGCTAATTTTTTAAAGCACTATCCTAATTTAATTTCAATAATTTTTAAAATTATTTTAGCCATTAAATTTCAATTTGGGCTGTTAAATCTTTTTTTACACTATTGGATTTGATCATATTAGATATCAACCGTTAGATTCAATGAAACTATAAATATCAAACAAAAACATTAACTAAATTAAATGTGAACCGTTGGATAACCAACTGCCCGTTTGAATTTCAGCCGTTGATCATCTAAAAGAGTCGTTGGCTCACTTTTCTTGGCCGACATTTGTTGGACACACCCACGTGGGTGGGGCTACCCTTTGCAACAATGATAAATGTTGGAGCAATGCTGGAGTGCGTCCTTCATGTGGCGCGAGTGGTTTTGGGCGCCTGTTGTCCAAGTCCCTCTCTTCCACTCTCACATGTGGGCTTCACAAAACCTTGGCCTAAATATGGCTTTTTTATAGTTTTAAAACTTAACCCCATTTTAGAACAAGGGTTGGAATGAAATGAGGAATAGAAGGAAAAATTTAGAACTTACTCCAAGAGTTGGAGTTGGTCTAAATAAGGTGAAATTAGCTCTTGGCCTAGTAGTACTTCTCTTTTGGCCGAATAACACATATTTTCCATTACGATTTAAAAGTTAGCTATTTTCATAAAGTGGATATATCGTTTAACTTTTCCCACCTACATAGGGTCAAAGTTCAAACGCAATCAACATAATCTCAGTACAACTAAAGGTGTCCGTTCTACATGTAGGATCGACACACTAGACTTCGACAAATTCGCAGTTCCAATTTTTCCATTCACTTCTCACGAGAAATAAGCACTATATCAAAACCAATCACTGGAACACCTCAATCCTTAATGTAAATACGTCGTTAAATTAAAAACTGCTTAAGGCAAATAATTTATGAGAGGGAATGTGGGCGCACGCGCCGTTTAATGCGGGTAAAACTTGATTCCGACATATATTTCTCCCCTATCAAAAGTTTACTTGCACTCTTACACTTCCACCGGCAGCCACCAAGCCATGCAAATATCTCCACCACATTTTAAAGCTCCAAGTTTTCACCACTGTTTAACCTCCAAACCCACCTCCCCAATCCCCAATCCTCCAAATCCCATGAATTCTCCAAATTTCCCAATCCACCAACAAACCCAATTGATTGATTCACAAAAAGTTCAAAACTTTCCACTTTCCCACTTCCCCTTATTCCTTAATCTGCTTTCCCAATAAGCAGCTTTTCCCAATCGGAGATATGTTAGCTCTGGAAATGGCCCGGGATGAGCTGCTGGTCCCGGCGCCGGAGGACACTGCTCAGACGCAGGCTCAAGCCTCTGCCGCCAGCAAGAAAAAAACTGCAGCTTTGAGAAGCTGGATTTCGCTGGACCATGACGGGCAGGGAACGGTTTTGGATTTGGACAAGCACGCCATTATCCACCGAGTTCAGATTCACGCTCGAGATCTTCGGCTTCTCGATCCATTGTTATCGTATCCTTCTACAATCTTGGGCAGAGAGAAAGTGATTGTTCTTAATTTGGAGGTCGGTTGTGAGATTTCCATAAGTGCCTTTCGTTCTTATTCTGCTTCTGGCTTTTTTTCTTGTACTAAACACTGTGCTTTTATGGGATTTGGGTTCCAGCAGCACATCAAAGCAATAATCACAGCGGATGAGGTAATTAGATTAATGTGTATTTGTACTGTTTTATTTGCCTTTGCCTTTACACTTCTTATTGTTTGTTATAATATAAGTAGCACTAAACTAGCAACTAATCACAATTAGCATACACGTAGCTAAATAGCCTCGAGGCAGTGTGCTCCTCCTCTGCACCCAAGTTTAAATCCATATCACGTAGTTTAGTTTGAATTAGAGTAGAATAGCCGAGTATACTTGTGAGGAGAATAATGAGTGGATTTCAAATGCATTGAAGTAAAATATATTCTAGGCAAATGGTTAAGATTGTTATTGGTGTAGGTACTGCTTAGAGACCCGTTTGATGATACTGTACTTCCCATCGTTAAGGAGCTTCAAAGGCGTTTGCCTCTGTCAAGTACCAATTTCAATGGCCAAGGAGAAGAAGAAGACGCTTCTGGGGTACAAAAAGATGAAACTGATGAGGAAAATGGTGTGACCTCAAAACTTCTCCCTTATCGGTTTATGTCAATAGTGTTGCTCAGGAAGTTTGAGCTCAATTTTCCGTGTTCCTAGTTGCGTTAGTATGTTTCCAATTTGGTACCCAAGTTTTGTGCTTGTTGTTTATCTGTTCTTTGACTTAATTTCCTGGTTGTTTTGTTTATGTCATGATTTAGAATTCCCATTCGAATTCCGAGCTTTAGAAGTTGCACTAGAAGGTATCTGTAGTTTTCTTGATGCGCAGACTAGAGTTCTAGAGGCTGATGCTTATCCGGCTTTAGATGAGCTGACCTCCAAGGTAATGATTCTTAGAATTTCATTTATTTTCTAAATCCCTGATTGCATAACCAAAGTGTTTAAAGCCCCCTAATTACATTATTTCATAATCCATGATAGAAGGAAAACTTGTTTAGATTGTTCTTCTCTGTTGAAACAGCTGGAATTATTTGCAGATTAGCAGTCGTAATTTGGATCGTGTTCGGAAGTTGAAGAGTGCAATGACCAGGTTGACAAATCGGGTTCAAAAGGTATGACAGTTACCAATATTATGCTGAAAACGCCAGTCATATGCTAATACTTAACTGCATTCCTCTTATGCTCAGTCATGCAGGGGATTTGTTTCTTGATTTAGTTCTGCAATCAATTCCCTTAACAATGTTGTATTGTTTTTGTTGCCACGAAGGTAGAAGTTGCAAAAAATGGCAAATATATATTTTCTAATTTTCGCTTACAAGTATGAACTTATTTCCTTTATGGAATAATGCATTCTAGGTAAGAGATGAACTCGAACAACTTCTTGATGACGATGATGATATGGCAGACCTTTACTTGTCAAGAAAGATGGTGGGGACTTCACCTGTCAGCGACTCTGGCGCTCCAAATTGGTCTCTCGCCTCACCTACTATAACTATAGGCTCGAAGGTATCAAGAACAAGCAGGGCGAGTGCTGCAACAACAGTTGAAGAGGAGAATGATGTCGAGGAACTTGAGATGTTGCTCGAGGTTATAATTTATCACAGGTTTTGTACTCTTGTACAGCCAAACCATACCTGAAGTCTGAGTTGAATCCTGTTATCTTTTGCAGGCTTACTTTATGCAAATTGAAGGCACGTTGAATAAATTGACAGCGGTATGCATTATTACTACGTTTGCAGTATCCTAACTTTCTACTTATATGAGATAAAACTTACACGATTCATTCTTTTGTTACCAGCTGCGCGAATACATCGATGACACAGAGGATTACATTAATATCCAGGTAATGGTTGTTCACATGATATTGAAACCTTGATACACTGATTTCAGACTTCACCTGCGCAGTAGTTTCTTTAACAATATGCACAGATTTAACATGTCTGATCTAATACGTATTTCATTGCAGCTTGACAATCATCGGAATCAGCTAATTCAGGTAATGTCTTTGGGACTCAAAAAAGAAACTATGCCGACGTTTTAAGTATATATCCTTTTTTATGGTTAACATGAGTTTCCTGTGACAGCTAGAGCTGTTCCTAAGTTCTGGAACTGTTTGTTTGTCTATGTGTTCTTTGGTGGCTGCAATATTTGGCATGAACATCCCGTATACATGGGCAAAAGATCATGGATACGTATTCAAATGGGTACGTATACCGCCACAGTCCACGTAATTTCCTTCACTTCTTTGGAGATAAATTTTCATTTGAAACTCCATTTCCATAACATAACTTAGGTGATCATCGTCACGGGGATAGTTTGCGGCTCCGTTTTCTTGTTGATAATCTCGTACGCTCGGCACAAAGGTCTTGTTGGATCTTGATACTCATACCATTTGATCTGTTGGGAAAGATGTATACATAGTAGAGCTTTGCAACTATCATCATCATGTATTGTTATGTACAAATATAGGCAGCATTGGCTCAAGGGGTTACTTGTAGTTAGCAATTGACCGAATAAAGTTTAATGTTGCGATTACGTTGGCATCAACGTGTAGGAGATTGTAAAAAGCTTGTAGCTCAATTGGTTACGGGCATTGTTTACTCTTCCACTCCGAGTCACGTGTTCAATTCTGTCTCATCCAATATCGCTTGTAGATAAATATGCATGAGATTTTGTTCTGGAAGTCAAGTCATGGTCTTTAATTACATGCTAATCAATCTTATTACATGTTAATTCTTAATTCACAAATCTGGTTCCTCACAATTGTCCTGTTACTTAACTGCTATGACCCACTTCTAGGAGGAGGAGGAGCATGCCGCACGTGACTAACATGTTTTACATGTTCTTCAACTATTGTTGTGCTGGCTGTCTAGGTGGCATTTCGTTCACATTTGTGAATTATTGCATATCGTCTTTATACAAAGGAATCTTCATTTTTTTGGAAAAATTAGGGATTAGGAGTGGGGCTTATTCCACCTCGAATTTTAACGATTCGAATCCTCTATTTTGTTAGTCTCAATTCATAGATAATCTTTGGAAAAATTCAATTCAATCCGAAACCATTTGTCTATTTAATTATCAAGATCAAATTTCGTTGTTTCTTATATAACAAATTATTCGTTCATTTTTTTAACTCAATTAAATGTTTTAAATATTTCTGATTTAGCTAATATTTTGCAATGATGATCTATGAGGTACAACTTGAAAAATAGACGATTCAGATCGTTAAAATTCAATGTGGTGTAGACCCCACAACTAATTTTTATTTTTATAAAAAAAAATAGGGATCCCATTTCTTAAAAGCTTTCTATATATATATATATATATATATATATATATATATATAACGCTTTTTTTTTTTTTATAATTAAGATCATGCTGAATGTGGAAACATTTTTTAGAAGGGGACAATCACTTGCAACTCATCGAATTGTGTACTTAAAATTTGGTTTACGCATGATCTCATGTTTTCATCCCTAAACTCATCTCTCCATGATATTAATAAACTGAAATTTCTTTTTGAGACCCATGAAGTGGATAATTTCTTCAGAAACGCACACATGGTAGATCGTCTTAAACTGGTTTAGGCATGATCTTATGTTCCATGTCAACTGTCCGATCAGAACAGAAACACACAAATGATAAATCGTCTTAAATTATAGTCTCCCGTGGCTCCAATATGACAACTCGTCCGTCTTTTCTAGTCTACAACAGCCATGCCGAATAATTTTCCGGTGAAGCGAGTTTCATGGCAACCTCTGAAAACCCAAGGCTGCCCTACGACGGCCAGCGAGTATAATTTTAAGTAATAGTTACAAGGGGTTGTGTTAGTATGACATTGACGTTGAAATGGTCTCGATATTTTTAAAATTAGGTAATTTACATTTTGCATCTCAAGTTTCTATTCAATTACAACTTCGACAACATTTTTAGAATATTTCAATCTTATACGTTTACTTATTATTTCATTTCAATGTCATACATTTATCTAGAATTCCGATAGTTTCTTCGTCTATGTGAACGACGCGGGGCCGTGCTGGGGAAAGTGGTGGCTGAGCCCTGCGGGTAAAGTATGGTTTTTATAATTTAATTTACACAATCGACGTCGGCGAAGGACTTGTCGAAGGGTTGCTGGAGAAGAAGGAGAGGGTGAGCCCATTTTATAATTACAAATGATTTATTTGTTTTTATTTACGTGGCGCATGTTTTGTCGGGCCTGCAGCGTTTCATACAGGCATATAACGAAAAAACCAACAGAAATTACGAGAGATGTATGGCATTAAAATCAAATAATAACTAATATGAAATTGAAATATTTTTAAAATGTATATATCATTATATGAGGTTATAAGTTGTAACTGGACAAAAATTGAGGGTGTAAAATATAATTAAAAAAAATTGGCATTCAAAAAGCTCTGAGTAAATACGAGAAAAATTCCCCGCTCCACCTTATTAAAAGCAAAGAGGTCAAACGCTGGTGGTTGTTTCTTGTTGCTACCGAATACAATGAAAAGACCAATGATAGAACAATTCATACAGTGATATTTCGTGCTAGGTACACAAGGGAGGTATAAACCTAATTTTTTTTAGAGAATTTTAACAAAATATTTTTTATACTGTTTATTTTTAACGAAAATGATATTTTTACTCTAAAAAGTCAGTTCTGATATATTTACTTACAAAACTTTTTGGTCATTTTAATTAAAACTCAAAGTTTTCAAGTTTTTTATTTTTTATCGTGGTAACTCTGTATAATTGTATAGGCTTCCCAAAGATTCCACCTGGCCTACGGATTCACATATTGGGTTGCTCTTCATGAATGAGGATCCTTGCCGGATTTTCTTTGTGAGGATTTCGGGGTTCCTTTGATCACATAGGTTCATCGTACATCGTGCGATCAATTTTCGTCAGGTACATTTTATATTTAATTTTAAATAAAAAAATTTACAATGATTTATGACCGCACAATGTACGATGAACGGATGTGATTGGAGAATCCGGGGAATCCTTTAATATGTCCGTTCATCGTACATCATACGATCAGAAATCATTTAAAAAATTTTATTTAAAATTAGAATACAAGTACTACCTGACGAAAATCGACCGCACATTTTACGATGATCGGACATGATTGAAGAATTCATTGTATCCTCACAAAAAGAATCCGAAAATGATCCTCACGAAGAGCATCCGGAAAGAATTATCATTCCCTCTTCATACCTTTGCACATTAATTTCACTGCGCGGTAAAACACAAAAGTGAAAAAGTGAACAATGGCGATTGGAAAGTGGAAACATGGCATGGGTTTCAAGTAGCTTTGACTCAGTCCATTCCGTACGTGAAATCTATTTTTAGCAAATTAAAAATAAAAATACCAAAAAAGTTAAATGCGACCGCCCGCTATCATGTACATGTGGACACAAAACAAGACTCACACTTCCGCAAGACTCGCCGTCGGGTGCACGATAACCCAGTGCGCACTTTAATATCAGCACGCACCCTCGGCGCACGTTAGTCACACCCCCCCATCTTCAACTGAACCTGGTCTTTAAATTTCAATTTAATATTGCTTTTCGAATAAGAAAATGAAATAAAATTAGTCAAAAAAAAAAAAAAAAAAGGAAAAAACTTCATGCTCTTTTATGACGAAGAGCGAGCCTCTCGATTCAGATCAATAATCCTTGACCCTCTGGTCGAATCCATCAAAACCAACGTCGAGTACTCGGAAATCGATCGAACCCATCTCGCAAATCTCACTTTCCCACCAACCAAACGGCTCAAATCTCCCTAGCAGCTTCAACAGGGGTAATGATAATCTATTTCTTGCTTTCTTCTCCCTTAGATTTTGCTGGGTTTTCCTCATCTTTTTCGCCTGCTTTGTTGTCCCGTTGGTGTTCTGATTTTTGTGGTTTTTGGGTCTAATGCAGGTGGATTTGCAGAAATGGACGTAAATTTTGTGCGTGCCGCAACATGCAGTGTGTGAATACGTGGGGGAGTTCGGAATTTTGGAATTTATAGAGTGGGAGGAGTTGGAGGCTTGGTGGGGTCGGAGATGGCGAATCCGGTGGTGAGAGTGAGGAGGGAGACGATTGCGGCATGCATGACTTGTCCTCTTTGCGATAAGCTCTTCAGAGACGCCACCACCATATCTGAATGTCTTCACACGTGTGAGTCCTCCTCATTCCCTCGTGCCAAAGACTATTTGTTTTTCCTGTTTCTGCCGATTGCGTTTCTGATTCTGGAAATTTGGAGTGTGAAGCTGTGATTTTTATGGTGTTTTGGTGTTTTTGGTGATCTGGGTTATTGGTATTTTGCATTTTTGTTAACTGGGTTTGGCTTGGTATTGAGTCGTTTGCTGGTTTTGGGATGTGGGTTTTTGGAATTCCATGTTTTCCAAGACGGTTTCCTTCCTCGTTCTCTCTTTCTGTTTACGTTTTTGGACTCGAAGATCTGAGGGGAGCTTTGCCTGTTGGATTTGCCAACCATTTGATGAACAACCAGAATCTTATTTCATTGACAATTTGACATGCTTGTTGATGACTTCGAATGCTTGACTAAAAGGGATAATTCCGACGTCTCTCGGAAGGCCTCTGCTTGCAGTGGCCTAAGTTGCATAACCGCATTGCATTCGTACATGTTCATTGGATGGAATCCTGAGAGTGTGTAACAAATGGATAGAGTTAAAGTCATGTGTTCTTGAAGGTAGAATTACAAACATGCAATTATGTTCAAAATCCGTACCAGTGCGCAACTTACAGACTGGCTTCTTTTACTTTAGCTCGTTAGCTGTCTTTTCTTTCCGTTGATTAAGAATTTAGTTTACTTCATGCTGGGTTTTCTGTTGCTTATCAAATTAATTTCGCGTGAAGTTTTTCTCGGACCGATCCTCCACCCTCCTTTTCTTTTTATCGTAAGTTTCTTCTGTGTACAGTGTAGAGAATAGTTATGATTGGTTTTTTTGTTTGTGCTTCTCCAGTTTGCAGGAAGTGCATATATAATAAGATTTCAGACGAGGAACTAGAAGTCTGTCCAATATGCAACATAGACCTGGGTTGTGTTCCACTGGAGAAATTAAGGTTCCTATTTTGTTAACTTATCATCGGATTATGCAAAATAAGTACTTAAATGGATTATAATATGCAATTTTTGGAGTGGTTGGTTTTCGTTCATCTTTTTCAAGCAGAATCATTCATTTTTCACTTTTAATCACAATGCCATGGTTTATGCCATCAACATACAGCCTCCCCATATTAATTTATTGGCAAAGAACTGTTCTTTGATAAGTGAGTTTATTGTGGGATGATGACAAAATAGGAGGATGGTACTACACCTGATATGGATATGCCTCGTAATTCTTTATGATCTTCTCTCCATGTGCATGCAGTCGCATTTGCAACCATTCAACGTTCTTGATTTAGATGCAGATGATTTGTAATTCTCCAGTCCTTGTGCCCTTGTCATGCAACTGTAAATTGTACTTATTGGGCAAGCATGCACATCCATTATTCATGATTTTTGCTGATTTAATCATATGATATATTGATGGTTTTAGTTACCTTGGTTATCAGGCCAGATCACAGCTGGCAAGATGTAAGGGCTAAGATTTTCCCTTTTAAAAGAAGAAAGGTAAGTGCACCTGAAGTTATGCCTTCAGTTACATTACCAGCTAGAAGAAAGGAGAGATCTCTCTCGTCGTTGGTGGTCAGCACTCCCAGAGTATCAGCCCAGGCTACCATGACGGGAAGGAGAACTAAAGCTGTTGCAAGAAAGGCTTCTGCTTTACAAGCATCCAGTTTTTTGGTTGAGAGGCCTATTAAGAAAGAGGAAAGTTCAGCAGAAGATCACCTAGAGAGCAACAGCTCACCTGAAGCCTCAAATAAGTCCGGTCAAAATAACAAGCCGGTAAGTGACGGCAACATTCTGTCTTATCTAGCTTTCCTTATATGCATTTGTTAAACTGCTGATGAGGTTTTATTTCCACAAACTTAAATGAAAGTTTTGCATTTGGATAAATATACCAATGCATTTATTGGTCTCAAATTTGGCTGGCACAGAGTTCTTTTTCTGCTGAGCCTAGCCAGCCTGTATCCAATAAAGAAACTGAGGATGGCGGTGAACCATGGGAAGGGAAATTGGATCTTTGGAAACCATTAAATTGTTTGGTCGAAGTTGCGAATAGGACCAAGTCGCTCAAATCCAACTCCCAAGGGTCTGAAAATAAAGTAGAACCAGTGCATGTAAGTGAACCTCAGGTTCGCAAGTCCAAAAATAAGGAAAACAAAGAGAAATCAAAAGTTGAGGAGGAAAAGAATAGTACTTATCCTACCTCTCCAGACACAGTAAAACCTAAAAAGCTGCGTAGGGTTCGACGAAAGAGGGAATCATTTGCAGAATCAAGCATTTCACCCCAAGCTGTTTTGGATGCAACTTTTGGCAAACATGAACGAAGAGCCGGTCCAATTTGGTTCTCACTCGTAGCTTCTGAAGACCAGTGAGAAACAACTTTAGCTTTGAAAGATTATTTGGATTATTTAAAGAATTTTTTGGACAAGTTGCTCTTCCTTTCTTTGTGTATTGATTTGTTGAATTAATGGTTTCAGGGAAGGAGATGAACCCTTGCCTCAAATTCCGACAAGTTACTTAAGGATAAAGTGAGTTCTTTACGGCTCTAATGCATGTTTGAGTGCACCACTCATCATTGCATGATGAAGTGTTCAATTTTGCAGTGCTATTTATAAGTTTTATGGACAAGCTAACGTATGCTGCTTCATTCTTAATCGTTAATGAACTCCATTGTTTGATCTTAACATTCCGGAAAAAACTGTATATGTTCAAAATTCATCACTGTTGGTACTTGTAACTTTTGTCTACTCAAGATTTTGAAGATACGAGAATGATTTTGTTATGGGAAGAGTTCTCTAATGATTGTCTCATTAGTCTCATATTTGGTTCTTTTGTCACAGGGATGGGAACGTGCCTGTCTCGTTCATCCAGAAATACCTAATGAGGAAACTAGACCTCACTAGCGAAGCTGAGGTAAGCCAATCCATTTTTGGTTTAATTTGAAAAGACTACTGGAAAATCATTCCAAGTACCCAAATTGTCTGTTTTTCTTCGGAATATAGTTAAATTTTTACTATATGTTGCTTGCTTCCTTCGGTAACGATTCATTAACATTTCTTTCAGGTTGAGATTAAATGTATGGGGCAACCAGTGGTTCCCACGTTAGAAATGTATAACTTAGTTGATCTGTGGCTACAAATGGCATCCCCTCCAGAACGAATTACAGCATCTGTCGGGTCCTCTGCGAAAGATTTTGTGATGGTGCTGGCTTATTCCCGAAAGGTCTCAAACTCCTAACAGTTCTGTCATGTCTTTTCCATAGAATTTGTGAGATGATAGAGATGCAGTTTCTGATCCCGGCATGTGTTGTATGAGTATGTGTTGCAAACTTTGCAGTCAGAGTGTTGTTAACTGCTGCTGCCCACGGCAGTGTCAGAGGGGGCGAATGAACTACTGAAGAAAAACTCGCTCATCTTCCCTCGGTACTCAAGTGTGGCATGTTGTTCTTGGCGAATGGTCATTGCAATGTCTGTATTATACCTGATCAAATTTTCTTCTTGTTGAAATTATCGATTCGCATCATGTAATGCACTAGTTCTATGAACCTGACTGATACACAGTTTCTGGCCGCACTTTACTTGTCTGTAACAAAATGCCAAGTACCAATATACAAAATATTTTTCCTCTTGTGCATGTAGTCCATTCTTTTTTCTCGTATTATCGATGGGGACTATGGAGATTCAAACTCAGTATTTCTTCTATATTTGAAATAAAAGTACCACTAGACCAATAACTACTTTGTCCACCGCTATATTATCACTATTTTCCCAATGCAATGACTTGGCCTCGCCTGGTGATTAGACTAATAGCTTTCGTATCTCTACTCACATTACAATACGTGAATTAGTTATTCGTATTATATCCTCAAGCATTTACACGTGATTTTGGAACTGTGCTGTCCACTTCTCCATCACCTTTCAACGATTTTGGGGACCAGATTTTTCGATTAAAACTTTAAAAGAGATTTTTATCGGAGGCATGAGCGTGTAAACTAATGATTCAAGTGGGAACTAGAAACAGTATCACGTGCGCACGTGACTTTACAGATTAGCTCTCAGCACATAACAGTTCCTCCAGCATCTGGTTTATACGCCAGTGGCCTTTTACCACAGTCGTTGAGAGAAATGTTGCCCTTCTACTACGGCGTGGTTTCGAACCCAATTGATTTTCTAATCTAACAAATTTATCGTTTGACAAAAAAATTATAAAAAAAAGGCACCTGGTTTATACTATTTATATGCTTCCCCATGCTGTAAAGGCTGCAACCTTTTTCTGCCTTTGAGTTGAGCCTCCTCCTGAGCTCCGAGACTCAAAACAAAGCACCTGGTTTATACCATTCATATGCTTCCCCATGCTGTAAAGGCTGCAAGCCTTTGAGTTGAGCCTCCTCCTGAGCCCTCCTGAGCCCCAAGACTCAAAACAAACACAATTCTAATCGCGTTTCAAATGGTTTGCTATCCACCAGAATTCCACTTTTGAGAGAACCTCCCTAACATTTCTCATAGAATTATATTATGTAGAAGGAAGACTCCGTGTATAAGCTTAAAAACAGAAAAACTTGAGTGTAACCGAGATTTATCTCCATCTCTCTATCTCACCCATCACCAGTTATATGCAATAATCTCTCTTGTAAAACGCGTACAAGAATCAATAATCTTAAGGATTAAAAAATAAATAAAGTCGAAATACACTTTAAAGTTTAAGCAGAAATACCATTATCATATAATAAAACAGCATTAGCATATAACACTGTAGTAAACAGGCTTCCAATACATAATTAATGAATGCCAAGTTGCTTAATCTTACCCTACAAAAATATTCCTGAATAATGTGGAACAAAAGTAAGCTAATACATTATTGAATCTATACTCCTCTCCCAAATGGAAAACCAGCTACCCTTCAAACATCTTCACAAAATAATTGTGTTAAAAGCCATACACTTTGCACACATCTTCTTGCCTTCCCTTTTCGAATAACCAATTCGATAACTTTTATCGTCACGTGGCCCAAATTAAAGCATTGCATCTCTACTGTATCATCACAAATCAACGGAGTTGTGAAGGATGGTATGCCGGGCCATACCAGAAGCACATGCTTAGCTCCCTCTCCGGCCTTCAACTTCGACGATGCGGGTCCTATAGAAGTCTGAAGTATCTATTATATATGAAGTAGTGACATATGTGGGGTATACATGGCCATTAAACTGATGAGTGAGAACAATTATATATGAAGTATCTATTAGCTTTTAAAACTTCAGATTGTACAAAGTTATATTGTGATGAAAGAAAGTATTGAGAAATCGACAGTCGAATGCGCAAATGGAAAGCAACACATCCCAATCGAAGAAACTTACCAGAAACACAGAATAACGAACTTCAAGAAAACAAAATCAAAGTTGAAAGTAATATGCTGCAGAGGAACACTATTTGGCATTTTACATGTAACGAGTCGCCAAGAGATGGTTGACGAAGGCAAATATCGAGCTTTCAACACTCAAATGCAAATGGCGGCAACACATACAAATGCAAGAAAGTTACGAAATCAAAACTAAAAGTAATATGCCACAAAGAACACTGCTTGGCACATACATTTGCAAACGCAACTCATTAAAATCCGTCACATAATATGCACATAAACTGTAAGCAAACTTCGATTATAAACTCGATTAGATTAATGGCCTTACTCCAATAACTCAACAAGATTACAATGTTTCCCTTCTTTCAACAACCACACTTGAAATCAACACTATATATTGGCAGCAACCAGAGCAATCTGATACATGCTTAAGTGAAGTATAAAAGAAGGGGTGTGATATCCACACAATCCTTTTTACTTCTCCCACACTTTTTTGGTTTTTGGTCATCGGATCGGATGAATTGAAGAAAATCAACGGACATAAATTAATAAGAAGTGTGGGAGAAGTAAAAAGGGACACCCGTAACCTCTATCGAAAAAGCAGCTGAATTCAAAAGCTAAAAAAGCAAAGAATTTAGCTCAAGATTGAATGAAATGTTACCTAAAAGCAGATCTAAAGTGAGCTTACAATGCCAAAAAGAGAGAAACTTTCTTCTACCCAGCAAGGATCCAATGGCACCCAGTATTTTGCAATCAGCTAAACGCGGGTGTACCGTGTTCGCCTGGGACTGCCCACCACAACCGAAAGCAACCCACCTTCGGCAGCTTCCTGCTCGTCGGCATACAAATCATCCGTCCCCCTAAACGCCGCGTGCAACCCAACAATCGCGAGCCCAATCAGAACCGATACCAGCACGTTCAGCCACACGTGCGTTAAGACCAGAGCCACGATGGTGATGACGGCGAGAATCCCCAAAACGACGCGGTCGTCGACGATTCGGTGGAAAATTACGAGCGGTTCGTCGCGGAAGAAGTAGAGGAAGAACCAGGCGACGAAGACGAGGAGGAAGACGATGAGGGAGAAGGGGTGCCAGAGGAGGCTGAGGAAGAGGACGAAGAGGACAAGCATAGTGTAGTTCACGCGGAAGTGGCCGAGGTTGCGCTTGATTCGGACGGTGGCTTCGCCGAAGGTGTAGGGGCGCGTGAAGCTAGAGAAGGGCTGAACGAGCTCGAGCCATGGGCGGCGCGTGGCGAAGAAGGACTGGGTCGTGGCCCTGGCGCGTGAGTATGGTTCGGGCGTGGCGGTGGTGAAGGAGGCGGATGGGAGTGTGCCGTAGCGGGGTGGCGAATCTAAAGACATTGGAGCTGGACGAATAGAGGTTTACAGAGGTTCAAGATGGAAGCAGAGCTGAATTTAAACCCTAGGAGAGAGAAAATGGTGATCAGAACAGAGGAGGGAGAGAGAGAGAGAGAGAGAGAGGTAGGTCTCTGTAATTCTTGGCGTGAGACTGTTGTGGTGGCCTGATATTTTGTGCTTTTGGGGAAGGTGAGACTGGAAGGGCAAGAGATGCGTGATTTGATGGAAGGTTATATTTGAAGGAAAAAAGATTAGATATTCTGGAGGAATGAGGATTCTCTCCTAAGAATCTTTAAATTGTGTCCGTTCATTGTATATCGTGTGATAAGTTTTCTTCGCATACTATTTATATTTATTTTAAATAAAAATATTTAAAATGATTTCTGATTGCATGATGTACAATAAACAAACACGATTTTAGAATTTCAAGATCCTCACAAAGAGAATAGGATCTCATTCATTCTTGAGAGCTATATTTTCAACGAAAAGTTAATAGAAAAATATTTTTTACATTACGTCTATAAAAAATTTATATTAATATTTAACTAACACTTTTATACTTGTTTTTCATACTCACAATAATTTTAAAAATACAATTTGTCAAAAGTCCAACTATTTTATTTCACACCATAAGTTATAAATAGGAAGCAGATTGTCTGCCCTCCTATTTGGGTGTCATTCTCATCCTCTCCTATTTGTGTGGTCATGATTAAGTCACGTCAACATTTTATATTCTTATTATTTTTTATCTTATTATCTCTATAAAAATGTTAATATAAAATGTTGAAGTGGCTTAACCATGACCGCACAAAATAAGAGAAGATGAGAAAGGCACCCAAACAGGAGAGCAGATAATCTGCCTCCTTATAAATAAGGACAAGGATTGTCTGCCCTCCCACTTTCTGTGCCCTTCCATGCCCTCCTGTTTTGTGTGGTCACGGTTAAGCCACGTCAACATTTTATATTATTTTTTTATAGAGATAATAAGACAAAAATGAATAGTAATATAAAATGTTAACATGGCTTAACTGTGATCAAACAAAATAAAAGAGTATGAAAAAGCACGAGAAGTAAGATGACAGACAATCCTTGTCCAGTAAATAAGCACAACGATTCCAAACTGACCCCAAGTGGAGGTGGTGGAGCCTTGGGCTTTTATAAAAAGGCAAAGTGACTTCCATTTTTGGGCAATGGTCAAACGTTTACAAGCTACTTGGAACTAGGCAAAAAAATGTGAGCGATCACAATAGGACTGGATGGATTTGAGTACTTATTTAGCATGACGGAGAATCGTGGTAGTTAAATTATTGTGTAGAATTTGGACACAATGGGCTCATTATAATAAATTAGTATTGAATTTATCTAATTTAAAATTTTCACTTACTTTGACCAATGTTAAATACTTTTCATTTATGTCAAATATTTTCCGTTTAAAAATATTATGAAGATTTTTAAAAGGGTCAGTGGACTTATTTTCAATCCATTCATGAAAATCGTCAAACGGTGACTATAGTTAAAGATTTTGTTCAAAAATACTTTCTTATTTGTTGCTTAGATGACATTGTTTAATTTATACGTCAATATGGCGTTCATGTAAGTAAAAAATGAGTCTGTTAAGTGTTGCATCAGAATGATTTAGGTTTAACTTAATGACCAGACCAAAGAATAAGCGAATAGTATAAGTATCATAAACTTAGAGTTGTCTTTGTGCACTTACAGATGTTATTGTTTACAAATCATGAAAAAATTGGTAAGTCTTGACATCCTCCACAACAAACTTGACACCACCAGTGCAGCCCAAAACTGCCACAACGGAGAACCAAGCAACCATTGCAAAGTTGAGAAGCAACGAAGAAAGGTACATTTTGGTGTTTTTGGTCTGCCTACTTCTAGCTTTTAAATATGCCAATGCAGGGAACACAAAGTCCGAAAGGCATGGCTGCTGCAACATGAGTGATAAAAACCATACATATCGAGGTGAAAAAAGGCGGAATTAGGGTTTATCGGAGCGAGAAATGACCGTGCAGGTGGTTTTTTGTGACATGAGTCCCTCCTCAAAGTAGGCATACGTTGGCCTGCAATATATCTACACATTATGAAATGTAAAAACAGCATCAGAAGTGAATTCAAAGTTGGGAAAATAGTAGGGGTTTAACACTGCATTCAGACGAAGAAAATAAACTTGGGATTTGGAAGAGGTAAAAATGGGGTTAAGAAACTTATCTGTTGAGTTTCCTCGAAAGAGCAAACTTTGTGTAGAGGTGTCTCGATCACATCATTCATAGAATACATCTCACAAAAGCATGTGGCCGCCTTTGTGTTTCGGTCTCAACAAAGCCTATGCGGTCTCACTCGTTATAAGAGTTATCCTATTAAGGCGGCCCTATCTAATATGTTCTCCGTCCAAATGTAGGGTTAAGAAACCTAATCGTTGAAATGTGGGAAGGGATATAAGGTTGAACTTATGAACCAAAAGCCCAGTAGCCAGTAAAGGCCAGTTGCCAGTAGCTCAACACAATGACAGCATATGCTGCTGATACATCTTTGTACACGTTCTTCTTTGCAGGCTCTCTCGCTGTATTCTGGTATCAAAACATAATTCAAACTTAACAAATTGAAGGCTCTGAAGTTTTTAGAAGATTAGCTTCCATCCGAACTGTAACTAACTGATTTTCTATCAATCTTTTTCCCTAGTAAGCAAGAAGAAAGAATTATTAAACTCAAATTTAAAAAAAAAAGCAAAATTTGACAGATTGATATATATGTTGTGGAGAAGTAGGCTAGGCTACTTTAACTTGTGACATCAGTTGTTGTGCCGGCAAAGCCAATTGTGCTAAAAGTGCTCAAGGCATTTACCTCTCTCAACGAGTGGATATCTGGCAGCTGAGAAAGCAGTTCAAAAGCCCCAAAGAAAATGATAAATGGCAGCAGGGTTAAGCTACATTCACTCTGATAATATCTGTATGCAGCCTGCATAAAAAGAATACGGAATTTTATATGCAATTCCCTCTCGAGCTTCGAGTTAGCTCGTCTGGTGGTTGGGACCGAACGAGATTGAAATTGAGTTAGAGTCGTTCATACGAAGTCTCATCACTTGTGTGGAGGGGACTTGTAAGATTTAATATGTTCGACTATAGTCCAGTTTATAAGTTCACCAAACAATGATCATGACGTTAGTTTAATTTAATTGAAATAGTTCAGTTTAGACCGAGCCACAAAAATTGAACTACAAAAACTGAAAATGCATGAGTTTAGTAGATTAATATCGAACCTTAAGGCTACTTCTCTGCTCTTTCTGAAGTCAACAAACATGCTTAGAATGCTAGGAATCAACAAACTCAGGTGGTTGATTCATTTAAACTTCCTCACATAGAATCCCATTAAGGAAGGCATTACGCACATCGAGTTGTTGGAGGGACCAATTGTTGGAAACAACAAGGGCAAGTATGGTCCGAATAGTATCCGGTTTGACCACAGGACTGAAGGTCTCTTGGAAGTTGAGGCCTTCTTGTTGATTATTAACTATAAATACCGTATCATCTGTTGAATTTTCACACAATCAATCAGACTGAATATACAAATTGATACAATGTCAATACCTTAAAAATACAATACGAGAAAACTAAAAGTTCGTTTTCCATTTTGATAATCACCTCAAACGTAAAGGGCGTAAAATCTAATTAACCATATGATGACATACCCGCCCCGACCCGGCTGCTTCCCTAGTCGGACGCTCACAAGCGGGATGGGCTATGATCTTACAGGCCCAAATTTCCTCCCTACCCGACTTCAGTAAAATCCCCAAAAGGCCCATCCATCCTATTAGCAAACACAAAAACCCCAATTCTCCCTTCTCCCCCTCTCCGAAAGCCGCAGTGCGATCCACGCAACAATGGTCTACATAACTTCCTGGGACGAGTTCGTCGAGCGATCCGTCCAGCTTTTCCGCGCCGATCCCGAATCTGTACGTTATGCTTTATTCTTTTTTCTTGTTTTGCTGTTTGGCTTGCTAGAAAATTTTAAAAAATCGAGTGAAGTTAGCAATAGTTCTTGATTGCTGCTTGATTTCAGTGCATGAAAACCCTAGTCTTCAATGGTATAATTGATTTTTATCGACTAATATTCTTCGAAAAATCATGTTCTCCGTATTCGAATTATTGCTGTTTTGATTACGTTTTGTAAACGAGTTCTAGGTGATCGGAATTGATTTTATTAGACTGATACGTAACTGTTTCTAACGCTTGTGATGGATCTGTTTGTTGATGCAGACTCGATACGTGATGAAGTACCGGCATTGCGAGGGGAAATTGGTTCTTAAGGTTACTGATAATAAAGAGGTACTAATTGCTTTCCCCTTTGATACCGTGTATTTACTCAATGTGCAATCGTAAATTGGTTTTTAAAGGATTTATATCATGTTATAGTGCATTGTTTCTCAATTATACTTGTGTTTAAGAACATCCAGTAGTTTTCCGAGTTTGGTGTTATTCTTTTAGAGTTCCGTAGTCTGTGCATAGAACTTTGTCTTATGAGTTTTCCTTGGTTCTTTTAATATATGTGCTTACAATTAACTACCGAGATGTTTAGTCCACAAAGAAGTTATTTACACATAAATATTCATAGCTGGTCTTGTACTTTTTGAAGAAGGTAAATGCTAGATTATGTTATGTGCGGTCAGAAATCATTGTAAATTTTTTTATTTAAAATTGAATATAAACAGTACTTGACAAAAACTGATCCCATGATGTACGATGAATGGATGTGATTGGAGGATCCCCGGGATCCTCACAAAGAGGATCCGCGGGATCCTCACAAAGAGGATCCGCGGGATCCTCACAAAGAGGATCCGGTGAGGATCCTCTCTCATTTGCGAGATATTAGGTTCACAAACTTTTTTTTTTTGTTTAGACTAGTGTGGTTGTGTTGGGATTTCTTTTTTTCTTTGGGAACTTAGGTTACCTCCTATTTGTGGCAGAAATACCTAGATCAGCTTCCTTCACCTCTGTTTTTAGATTACACAATCTGTTACTGTTGATGTTGATGCACAAAACCGGAGCGGTCTTGGAACAACGTAAATCCGACCGTGAATCTGCACAAACGCTCAAGAACACGAAGAACACAAAGAACACAAAGAATACAAGGATTTTATCGTGGTTCACCCCAATGTTTGGGCTACGTCCACACTGTAGTTGATTCTGTTTCTCTGTAAGTGTATGGATACAAGTGTTTGGGGGAAGTCCCCCAGAGAAAGAAGAGAAGGGAGAGGAGAGCCTCGGTGGTGTGAGGTCTCTCCTGAATGTAATGAAAGCTTTTCTTAGCCTTCTTAGGCTTGGCTCTTTTCCTCCTTTAGAATGAGGGGAGGAGTCCCCTTTTATAGAATAAGGGGCTCCTCCTCTTTTACAAAGTATGGGCTTTAGTGTGAGGCCCAAATACAAGGCCCAAGACCCAAATATACGAGGCCCAATATATGGTACCAACAGGAGTCCCCCAAGTCTTCAGTCAAGAGAGTCTTTTGGCTGGAGACTTCAAATCCAATCCATGTACGGGCCGAAGTGGCTAGATGTCTTGAACCAGTACTCAACCCAAGGTAATGCTCAACATAAAGCAATACTCGGCTAGAGGTATCACACGTTACGAGACTGCTCGGCTGGAGGCGATACTCGTTGCGAGGCTGCTCGGCTAGAGGCTATGCTCGCGGCGAGGCGTTTGCTCGGCTGGAGGCGATGCTCGTTGCGAGGCGGCTCGGCTAGAGGCTATGCTCGTTGCGAGGCGGCTCGGCTCGTGGTATTCCTCATTGCAAGTATCTACTTTATGTCTACATGCACTCAGTATGAGTTGATTCTCGACATGACTCGGGTCTGTAAGTTGGGTTTGATTTTGTAAGTGCCCAAAATGAATGGTGTCTGAGCCCGTGGGTGTCCAAGCAAGTGGATGTCCTGGTTGGGCAAGAGATCAATGTTGATCAGTAGAGCTGGTTGCTCGATAATTCCTGACAACAAATGACAGTATAAGTATGATTGTATAAATCAATAACGTGGAATTAATCATGTGATATCATTTATAATAATTATATTATTTAATCATGAGTCATCATGATATAGAAATAATATAATCATTATTTTATAATAATTATTTTAATCATAATTATAAAAATAATAAAATATTCAAAGAAAAAGAATCTTCTCCTTTTTTCGGTGGAAGCATGGTGGAGACATAATTGGTGGTTTTCTGAAAAGAAAACGTTTTTCCTTTTTTTTTCTTTTTCCTTTTCTTTTTCTTTCCTTGGCCGACAATGGGGTGTGGGATATTTCCCACCAAACCCGTTCCACTTTCTTTATTATTCCTTCTGTCTCTTCTTTTGCTGTTGGGTATGATGGAAGGTGGAGTGGAGCTTCCACTTCTTCTGTTCCTCACTAATGTTGCTGCAGCCTGCATTCCCTCTTTTTCCTGATGTCCTGCACCTGCACTTGCACCTGCAAATCATGTGCAGTGGTACTACCCAGCTCCATCCCATTGCAAGCAAATACAGATAGCTCCGGTCTTGGCAGCTATGGATGTTGAAATATGAAAGCTTAGGACAAAGAAGCTGCATGGTGGTGGGTATGTGACGAATGGTTCGCTCATGGCTGGAGCCTGAGCTTGCCTGGCTCCCTGTATGCCTATCATCGGCCATCCCTTCGCTGAGTTGCCGTGCCATTCGTGGACCCTCTCCCAAATACCTCTGAACAAATTCTGAACCAACGACTTTGATGAAGGCATCTTGGTGGCGTTGAGCTCTAGCTCCGGCGTTGAGCTTGGCGTCCGCAATGGCGTTCTGCGGCGACACGACCTCGCAAAACGGAACCTTGGTGGGTGTCTTCCTCTTTTCGCCTGGAAGTTAGGAATCACACTTGCTCTTCCGCCTTCCATATCTGCGCAGAGAGCTCGCTCCTTTTGGCTTTGGAGCTCCTGGAAGTTGTCGAATAATTTTGGCAAGGAAGACACCCAGGGCTCAGGCCGAGGTAGGAGCAAAGTAGCTTCTTCGTAGCATCATCATCTTCTTCTTTACAGGGTCTTCCATCTTTCCTCTAAGTCTAAAGGTTGAAGACAATGTTTGTTTCGGTTTTTTAGAGGGATAAAGTTTTAGAGAGAGGGATAGGGTGAGATCTGGAATTAGAGACATGAAAAGACGCGGTGGTAGCTGTGTTGTTGAGAGAGAGATGGAAAATGGGTTTTTGGATGGTTTCTTAAGACTGCAGAGTTTTCCAGAGAGAGAGATGAGTGATTTTGAGATCTGGATCTTTTCTGTTACTGGGTTTTTTGCAAATTTTTGCAGATTTACGATGGAGATGAAAAAATGAAAAAGAACCGACACAACTTTTCGTATCGATTCCCACAGACGGCGCCAAATGTTGATGCACAAAACCGGAGCGGTCTTGGAACAACGTAAATCCGACCGTGAATCTGCACAAACGCTCAAGAACACGAAGAACACAAAGAACACAAAGAATACAAGGATTTTATCGTGGTTCACCCCAATGTTTGGGCTACGTCCACACTGTAGTTGATTCTGTTTCTATGTAAGTGTATGGATACAAGTGTTTGGGGGAAGTCCCCCAGAGAAAGAAGAGAAGGGAGAGGAGAGCCTCGGTGGTGTGAGGTCTCTCCTGAATGTAATGAAAGCTTTTCTTAGCCTTCTTAGGCTTGGCTCTTTTCCTCCTTTAGAATGAGGGGAGGAGTCCCCTTTTATAGAATAAGGGGCTCCTCCTCTTTTACAAAGTATGGGCTTTAGTGTGAGGCCCAAATACAAGGCCCAAGACCCAAATATACGAGGCCCAATATATGGTACCAACAGTTGATGTCACTCAATCTATTTCAAAGTGTTCATTCATGCTCTCTTTTTCACCATTGAGCATAGAGTGATACTTCTTTGAATGTTATGTGAAAAAAATACTTGAAGGAACTCTTTTCTTGCCAAATTGCTCCCAAACTGAACTTGAGGCGGCCTTACTGGCGATAGTTTTTAGCTTCATGGCCATATTTTTTTTCTTCTGTCTTACCGTTTGTGTCTTTTTATTGGTGGACAAGTCTTAATTGCAGAAGTCTGGGTGAAATTTGACTGTATTAAGGTTGTCTTTATGCATTTCAGTAATATGGAAAGTCACCTAGGCTTTCCTCATATGTGGAACAGGCTTCATATATCCTGTAGTGAAAACATGAACTGAAGTGTCTTTTATGGCTGTGCTAGAAACTGGGGATATTTTCTTTAAAACTCAAATGAGTAAATTGTTGCAATGGTCCCTCAACTTTAATCAAATTGGAGCAATGGTCCCTCAACTAAAAATCCATTACTATTGGTCTCTCAACTTATCAAAATGTGTAGCTATAGTTATTTTCATCAATTTCGTCAAAATTTTGTCAAAATAAGTTATGTTGGAATAACCATTTATATAATTAGGGTCCCTCAACTCATCAAAGTGTGTAATTATGGTCCTTTTCGTCAACTACGTCAAAATTTTTGTCAAAACGAGTTATGTTGGAAGGACAATTGCTACAATTGGGTTAAAGTTAAGAGACAATTTCTTCAGTTGAATTAAAGTTGAGGGACCAATGGTAATGGATTTTTAGTTGAGGGACCATAGCTACACGTTTTGATGAGTTGAGGGACCAATGGTAATGGATTTTTAGTTGAGGGACCATTGCTCCAATTGAGTTAAAGTTAAGAGATCATAGCTACAATTTACTCAACTCAAATTGTTAGATTCAAGAAAATGGATGCATATCACTTACATCATCGTCGATTACATGCTTACCTGATGTACTCATGTGATGGATCCTTTTGCATTTGCAGTGTCTGAAATTCAAAACAGACCAGGCGCAAGACGCTAAGAAGATGGAGAAACTCAACAACATATTCTTCACTTTGATGTCCCGAGGTCCTGAAGGTAGTATCTTTATCCAAGCCTAAATATTAATTTTTTTTCGAAAAGGTTTTTGGCACAACTGTAGGTCCCAGTCCGGTTGTATTTATGTGTAAGCAATTAGATTGCTTGCTATGTGTCTGAACACGAACAGTGGGGTAGCCACCTTTTACCGAAGTTTCCTTTCACTAATTACAAAGGAGCTTTCGGGATGTTCGAGAACATGTTTCAAATGCAATGGAATTCCCTCCCTTGAATTTGTTTCCAGTATGACCTTGATGTTATTAGTTCTATTTCTGCTAAACTAAAACTAATTCACATTTCCTGTTGTTCTCCTTTTGAACAGCGGATCCATCAGAAGTTACTGGGAAAGACCAGATGGACGCACAGCCGACCAAGAAAGGACGGGGAAGAAAACAATAGTTGAGTCGGCGTAATTAGGTTGTTTTTAGGACTGATCTTACAGGGAACCATGGACTCCTAGTTATGTTTCAAGAGTTAAATAACGGACCCATTTATAAGTTCGTAACTGCCCTCAACTGTGATGAAGATTCTGAGATGAGACTGGCTGGTCGATTGGCGTATTGCAACCAATCGATCAGCCACTCGCATCCCGTAAGATTAGTCTTGGGGAAGTTCTCATAAGAGAGTTGTTCTTATTTGGTCATGCCCAAGTATGGGCTTTCTTTGATTTTCTTCTTGAACGTCTGCATTCGATTATTCACAGTGGTAGAAAAGGCCGCATCCGATCCTGTTTGATCAAATGAGATCCAACGGGGTTTACAAATCCCCCAAAACATGTCTAACCCGTTAAAAAGTTCAAGCGGTTAAGAGCATTTACATCTGTATTAGAAGTCCTAAGTACAATTCTTCATTTGTTGTAATCGCTTGTATAAAAAATGAAGCTAGGCAAAGCTTTATTTGAGAGGACGCATGCTAATATTTCATGGCTGCCCTCTAAAACATGGGAACTGGGTGGAGCTCTAGATTGTAGAGCAAAGACAAGTTAATGTGATTTCCCCTTTGCCAATCTAATGATGGCCGTACAGAGCCTTACCGGATCCCAATGCACTCTATCCGTTTCTTTCTTTCTTTCTTTTACTTTATTTTTTGGCATAACAAAAGGATAAAGTTGTTAAAAACCAAATCCATGCATGTGATGTACCACAAAAGCTTGTGAAATATTTGCTCCCAACGAAAAGATAGCGTGTGGAATCGGGGTTTTTGGGAAGCAAATATTCTTCAATCAAAGTTAAAGAGACAGACCAGATGGACAAATGGGACAGAATGTCTTGGAGGACAAGGTGGATTCATTAACGTTACCATGGCCATTTTGTTCACAAATTCTTTTAATTGTATTTTTGGAATACCGTTGGGTTGTATACCGAGTAAACTGATTCTTAATATTATAATTGTAATATGTTGATTTGATCGTACAACGTGATTGTATTTCAGTACTGTTGTACAATAATAGTTGGGGTGGTGTTATTCACACACCTCTGTTTACCTCTCGCACATCCTTCTCAAATTCTGACGGTCATATCGAATGAATTGAACAACATCAACAAACAGAAATAAACAAAAAAATGTGTTGATAACACCAACCCAATAGTTAATGAATTGAATGTAGGGTTTCAAGGAGCATGATTCTCATGCAGACGCTAAAGTGAGCTGGAGGGGGTTTGATTCTTCAATCAAGCAACAAGAAGGAAATCATTAGTTTGTATATATAGAAGAGTGAGTGAGAAGGGAAGGAAAAGAAAGATGGAACAAAGAAGCTTTTGCGATTCCTCAAAGATCTTTCAGTTTACAAATCCAATCGTCCACGTTAGTTCCTTCTTAAATAATTAAAGAAAAAAATAATAATTAAAGAAATGGAAAATAAAGCAAAGTTACTTAACTTTTCAAAGTGGAATAATTCTCCACATTCTCATTGGTTTGTCCACGTATAGCGATAGTTAAACTACACATGTAAACAATACATGTTGGGTGATGTAGCTGCATATGTTACTTTTAAACTTCACGTATGAACAGTGAACCAACATACTCATATACTATGAAGGAATCCATAAAACAAGTCGGCAGTGAATAGTAACTAAACTCCTTATAAGCCTATATAAGATTCGTTAACTTCCCAATTTAGGACAAATCTCTGCACCTCGCAAATAAAACTATAGATAAAGGAGAAGGGAAAAAAAAGTAAATTATTGGTGTTTTCATGGCTCTACATTTTGGATAAAGTTAACCTTTTGACCTATAAGATCTGAATTGTTCCCGACTTAAACGTTGTAAAGTATGAATTCGTGCACTTTGAGTGGGAAAAACCATGCTTTAATCCAACTTTTCTTTCTCTACTTTTTATTACTCATAATTATGTTTTTATTCTTTTTCCTCCTCCTTTTTTTCTTCTGAAAATTTAACGTTACGAGCACACTAATGTAATTTGCATCCTTGGGTGATATAGAATTGTGTTATTTGGGTTATTGAATGTTTTGATCTCTCAAATTCATGCATGGTGAAATACTGAAAGTGTTGGAATTGCTTCATTCTCCGAACTTCTGTTTATAAGCCTTAAGCATGATTGGCTCATAGAGTAGCTGGAGTAGGCAGGCCGCTTAGGGCCCCCACTTTGAAGGGGCATCAATTTTTATATATTTAAATTAATATTACAAATATTGTGTTTGTTCAAATAAGATGTTTACAGACTTTGAGTCTTTGTCTCTAAACACAATAGCCAGTTTGATTGAGTGGTTGAGCCCAACATTTGTAAGATTTATTTGTTTTGTATAATTATTGAATAAAAAACAACAAACTTGTTTTGTACGTGAAAGGTGAAACATCAAGTTACTCAAACTTGTTATTTTCGACTTCAAAAACAAATATGTTTACTTTTTTGGTTGCACTCCCTAGACTGCCAGACACCAAACCCTAAACGGCTAAACCATTTGGCCTTTGTCACATTCCCCAAAAGAAACACCAAATTCTAAACACCCTTGTCTATTCTAGGACTCCACTTCGAATGCTCGCCTAGAGACCCAAATTAACAAAAACGGGCCGACCTTATGTAGTATGCATATAAGTGTGTTTTGTTATTTCCAATTTTGGTCAAAAATGTTTGGAATAACTATTTTCTTCTAGTTTTGTGTCAACTTCTATTTCTGTTTCATTCCGAACTCGATATTTTCTTTCAAAAATAAAAGGCAAAAGTTGCTTTGCTCCAATGCACTAAAACAATTATAAGTTTCCACCAAAATAAGAAAGAACCACGTGATTGCTAATTACATTTTCATCTATAAAGAGTATGTTTTGTCCATTTAACTAATTAAACACACTAATAAGTAACAACATCTCACTTAATATCAGTCAGTTTCTGCATATAGTTTTTTTTTTTAACACAATCAATATTGAAGAAAAGGAATAACACGCATGAAAAAACAATGAGATAAACGTTTCTAGCTGCTTAAGCGACGATCGCCTTGTTTTAAAATCATAATATAATGGTTTTTTCTTCAGAATCATAATATAGTTGCTGAACATTGTATAATGATTAGAGATGCTACTTGAGTTAGGTCAACCTGGATCCGTCCATGTCCAACCCGATTTCAAATCCTATTGAGTTGGTTAGATGAAGAAAAAATCCGCCCAAACGCAACCTTAACCCAATCATTTGTTTGGTTGGGTTGGGTAGGGTGGATGCCTTTCTCGCCCATGTCAACTCAAGCCAAACCTGATTTTGAGCCCCAATTCTCTCATGTACATATTACCCATTCCACTTCATATTATATAAATTATATGTAAGTTTTGGAATGACTATACTTGAAGTTGTGTTGCTTTTATATTTATTTTGATTGAAATTTTGGTATACGTCTTGTTATTTAATTTTTTTTTTGAATTTTTGAAATATTTATTAGTCTCCAAGTTATTTGCTTTGGCCTTTTTGTGAATTGATGACGTGCAAATGAAAATGTAACTAATAGTTTTTTTATTCAAAATTTAAAAATCATAAAAAATAATGTGTTATAAGATTAAATTGAATAAAATTAGGCGAATTCAAACCCAACCCAAATAAATCCAAACCTAATTAAATTCCGAATCCAACTAACCTGCATGACCCGAACTAACCCAAATTCGAATTGTATAAATTAGGTTAGGGTTGGTTGACCATCTATCCCGCACGAGTTGCACTACAAAAATAATCATGTAAGATCTCTAATTAGGCATTACATCATATTATTAAGTGAATTAATTTTTAATTGAAAGCGAGCTGATTACGCCAATGAGAGAGAGTAAAGTCAACGGAGGTAGGACCGGTGGGGCCCCATGGCGGGTCCAGTCACCGAAGTAACAGTGTCTCCCCGGCGAAGGATACAAATTGTCAAGCAGTCAGAACGGCACATCGTTTTACGTGTCAGACTTTAGGGTTCAGTTTTACACGTGTTGATAAATGATTAGCCGTCCTGGCAACGGCTATATTGGATGCTCTCGACTGCTGGACTGGGCCTTGGGCCCCACTCTTGAACGGACGTTGAGATGAGATAGGCCGCGCAGCAGAGGGAAAATAAGACTTCAAAGCAAAGTAAGGAGCAAAAGCTTTTGTTTATGTCGTGTTCTTTCTTTTCTTTTCTTTTTTAAATATTTTTTTTATTACTCAACAAGATCGAAATTAATTAATTATTATTTTTTAAATATAAATATATCGTTTGCATGAAAATAAAATATAAGAAGAGTGATAAGTTCATTTAATTTTTTTTTCGTAACGATGATTCTCAATCTTATTTGTCTATAAGATCGATTGCTCAATCGCTATCTTGATTTAAGGTGTCCACTACATTGATAATATTCTCTTTATAAGTATCGTAATTGTAATATCAACAGTTAAGTTACTGAACATTTTCACGGTTATCGCGAAAAAATTATTGTGAATAAGGGTGACGTCTAAATCAGTGAACAAAGCATGTTATATTCTAAGGTTTAGTTTTCAATTTTTGAAGAATAAACGGAATATAATATGACCACCCTTAACTATTTAGTGTAGTGACATGTAATTGCTATTTTATTATAGTTAGTCATTATTTAAATCTAGTTACGTAAAATGTTTTAGCAATTGATGTAATTTGACAAAAACAACTTAACCATTGGCTTTTCTTTCAAAACATTCAAGATTAAGCAACGAAAGAGAGTTGCATCTAATCTTTGTTATGACGAAGTTCCAGCCTCCAAGTTGTTAAAATATAGTAGATTATCATAATCACTTGATATACTGGCACTTGAACTTCGTTTTGTTGAGCAATGAATTCAAATCTTATCAACGATGATTGGTGAGTAAAAATTAAACAAAGAAAAAAAAATACTTTGATCTTTACAACTTATCCAACTTTACCATATAATACAGCATCGTGCATTTGAGTTGTTTCTTATTTGGCAAAACAGTACTTTAACCGGTACTCTGCTCAATTTTATGAAAAAAATTTAAACTTCGAGCGCAAGGAAACAAGCGTGGTACCCTATGCAATTGACCTAACGGACGTTTATGCATGTGAGTACGTTCAAACAAGTGTCATTTTACACAGAAAAAGAAAGACATGCAGACAATCGATGAATGGACTATATGAAACCGTCTTTGTCCTCATTTTTTGACGCCCAATCGAAATTTGCAGGGACTGCACAACATGCAAAGAGGCCAAGCGAAATCTACCTCTTCAACAATCCTACCATTATCTGACACTCACTAAGCACACGAGAGATTCAACAATGTAACCGCACATTTTCAAATAGATAAAAAAGAAAGATAAATATATTATCGGTTACACCGTAAATTTGGTCAGAGCAGACAGTTTTTTTATGCAAGTTACAAAAGTAAAAGCTGGATTGGAGGAAAAAAATACCAAATTTAAAAACTTGAAAATTGAATTGGGGGGAAGAGAAAGAGGAAAAATCAAATCTTGAAAGAAAACAAAGAAAAAGTGAAGGGAGAAAAATAAAAAGAAAACTTCGTGTAGACCGTAAAAGCAAAGGCTCACTTTAACATTTTGTGG